ATGTATAAAGTTTGATTTGTAATAATTAAATTTTCTTTTCCTAATTAATTAGATTTGGGCTAAATTAAAAACTTTAAGAACACCAAAACCTAAGTTTAAGGCTTAATAAAGTGATTCTTAAATGAAGCTTGCCAAAAGAAAATTTAGAATGCCTCTAAAATAGAATTATAAAAGTTAATTTACGAAATTTGACATCTTAATGTGGGATATAACTGATATAATTTAATTTGTTCCTATAGGTCAATTTGACTACAATGTTGAGGTTGATAAATATGATTTATTTTATAATAGTTTTTATTTATTGTTTCCCAACTTTTATTTTAAATGTAAATGTACATATTTTCTTTTAATTGTTTAATACAAGAAAAATGGAATAAAATATGATATATGCATGCATATGAGAGTCACCCCTGGATGGTATTGGAAGGGGAATGCAATGTACCTGTGCAAGAAAATGTAAATGAAAATAAAAACAGAAATGATTAAACGTATATTTTTTAAATTTTATGTTTAGACAGTGAACCAATAATGAAAAGTGTAACATAAATGAATGAAAGAAAGTGAAAATGTTTTCTTTTATTGCGCAATCATTTTTATTGTAATTGTAATTTTTTCAAATTATTTTAAAATGAGAATTATTGTAATCTATAACTATTTACTTATTGAGTAATTTAACTCAACGTGTAAGTTATTTATATTTTTACGTAAAACAATATATAAACTCTATGGACTTAAAAGATTTTATGTACAGGCACTGAGGAGTGTGGGATGGTAGGTATTATAGTTCAAGTTTATATTATGTTAATATAAAAAATTAAATGTGAATCAAATATCATAAAATTAAGTTTTATGACTTCGAATGACTCTTTTGTCCTTTGTTGGGTTTTATGTGATTTCGAAATGAAACTTTTAGATAGGTTTTTTTCGTTTGACTGTCAGTTTTTTGCCTTAATTATTCTATGCCCTGGGCCGGATCGTGACATCTGTGATAGTTATAGTTCTAATATCATGGTTATATATATATTCATTATTCCTGGAGGCCTTTTTTCTAGAGTACTGACCCCTTCCTAGTGAAAAACAATAGAATTTAGGCAGCCATAAGTTTGCTTTTGGTAATCATGAAAACTGCCTCCCTGCTGGGTTTAGTCATACCCTCACCTCATTATTGCTTTAGTTCCCTCCTTCAAGTTCATCATCACTGTTTACGATTTCTTAGGCTTTTCTCGACTGGTGGTGTGGTTTCATGTTACATTGTGAAAGTAATACTAATTGTGGAACTTGAAAAAAGATGCATCCAAATGTAGTTTTGTTTTCATATTCTTTGCTTTGGTAAGCTTTTGTTGCAAAGCACTACATATTATTCCTAGCTGGCTAAGATACACAACTTCAATTTTGAAACCATCATCATCATCTTAACCTAATTATCTTGGATTGACTTTAAATTCAAATTCTTCATTAGTTCCGGTTGGGTGATGCATTAGATATTAACTTTATCTTATGCATTGTTTTGCACAACTCTTTTTTTTACTGCCTTTTGTTTACTCATTCCTTTTTGGTACTTCTCATTAATTTTATCTTCTTGCTTATTGGTGTATTTCTAAACTATATGATCAATGATCAAACTACTTAAAATGTAGTTTTTCCACCTTATTTTCAATAAATGTTATTTTCAACTCCTCTTTATTATAAATTTTCCTTATTTCTTCTTTCTAGTTTTAACATACATGCATCTTAATGTTTTTTATTTTACTTAACTCAAATTTCAAATCACAACACTCATATCCATATAGTATAGTGTTATATCCATATAATATAGTGTTATTAGAATTGACATTTTAAATTTTAACTTGACATATGTTTTCCTAACATATAGCATTTTTTTTAATTTCATTATAAAAACTTTGACGTTACTCTTTTTTCAATATCACCATATTTTGTTATTTCATTTCCAAGAAATTTGAACTTACTACACTTAGATGTCAGTTAATCATTCTATAAATAGTTATTAATTTCATATCTACATCAATTACTTTTTTTTATTATTTTTCAGCATACTAGTCCAAGATACTTTTATTCTATATATATATATATATTTTTCAATTATTCTTTTTTTTTTTTACTTTGGAAGAAGCCGACGCAATTAAATTTAAATCATTTGCAAATTGCATACATCAATGTGTCTTGCTATGAATATCTCCATTTCCAATATAAAATGATATGAAAATTGTTACATTTGAGATAATTTTGGGCTGTAAATTGTGTTGTTTTTTGTTTTAGTTTTGTATAAAGATCTCATACATATACAAATAAATAATAGAGTACAAGAGACATGATTTTTTAACTAGGAATCTTGAGAAGAGAAAAAACAATGTAATCAAATTCAAATGAAATGATGAACTATATTTTTTGGGATTATAAAGGTTTGCTCTTTCTTCTAATAAAAAAAAGTGGGATAGTAAAATAAGGCATCATGCACTAGCTTTGTCTCTTATGATTGTAGTGAAAATAGTAGCAATTGAAAGATGACACGTGTGTTGATCATTGGGAAATAATAATTACAATTAGGCAATGATGACAACAATTTGATTATGATGGTTAAAGGATGACGACAGTTTGATGAAAATGGTTGGATGGCAACGATCAAGTGATGACGATCGAAGGATGATGGTTATTAGTGGAGGTTGTTTGTGTTGGACATTAGTTTTTTTTTTAATTTTTTTATTTCCATGTTTTCTTCAAATTGAAGTCTTCTTCATGTGAAGAATTGGGCTCAGTTTATAGTTTTTGATGAAAATGGGCAGGTCTACTATGGAAGCTATACATTTATTGAGAGGTTTGATGGAGAAGTTCAGAGATAATAAGGAAAATCTACATTTGATTTTATTTATTTAGAAAAAGCTTACGATAAGGTTCCTTGTGATTTTATTTCCTTTGGAGAGTTCTTGAGAAGAAAGGTATTGATATGACTTATAATCAAGTCATTAAAGATATGTATACTAGAGCTGTTACTTGTGTTCGAACTGAAGGAGGATTGACCAAATATTTTCCTATTTCTATTGGATTACATCAGGGATCAGGTTTAAGCCCGTACCTTTTTGCTTTAGTTATGGATGGTCTTACTGGACATTTACAGGAGGATGTACCTTGTTGTAGGCTTTTTGTTGTTGATATCCTTCTCGTGGATAAGACGAGAGAAAAGAGTATAGGAAAAACTTGAATTATGGAGGTCTACATTGGAGTCTAAAGGCCTTCATTTGAGTAGAACTAAAATTGAATACATGAAATGTAATTTTAGTAGTAGCTCTAGTGACAGAAATGTAACTTTGGGTGATCAAGTTTTTAAAAGGTGTGATCGATTTAGATATCTCGGGTCTGTTGTTCAAAGCGATGGTGATATAGATGGGGATTTTAATAGTAGAATTCAAGTTGATTGGTTGATGTGGAGGAATGCTTCGGGCCTTTTGTGTGATAGAAAGTATCACTCAGAATGAAAGGAAAATTTAGAAGACGGTGGTAAGACCTGCAATGCTCTATGGCGCTGAATGTTGGCCTTTAAAAAAGAAGCAAAATATTAAGTTAAGTGTTGCTGAGATGAGAATGATTAGGTGGATGAGTGACTTTACACTTAGAGACAAAATGCGAAATGAATACATCCTTGATAGGATTGGTGTAGAAATTCGTCTTAGTTGGTTTGGTCACATTAAGCGTCGACCATCTGATGATCGGATTAGGAAAGTAGATGTTTTAGATTTGACTTACGTTAAGAAAGACAAAGGTAAATCTAGGAAAACTTGGGCTTATTGTATAAAAAATGATCTTAATTTATTAGAACTAAATGAAAATGTGACACTAAATAGGAAGCAATGGAGAAAAAATGATTCATGTAGCCGACCCCATGCTTTGGTGTTGTTGTTGTTGTAGCTAAAAATTTAAAAGTACTCTATTAGATGACTCTCATTGATTTCTTTGATCATACAACATTCTTTTAATATCGAAGTGCTTTAATGGCCTCAAAATTGAGTTATTTGATCCCTGTCATCGAGACATTATTTGGCCATAAGCATGTATGGTTTGGAAGCTGTTTGACTTTTTAATTTATATTTTTTAAAATTTTTAATCATATTTTGAATGTTTGATTTGGGCTTATTTAGACTCTGATCATATTACTTTTGGCAACGTTAGGCTTGTCTTCTCAAAATGTTTAGTTTGATTGTAAATTTATTGAAATTGAAGGTTGGATGGTCCTCAATCTAATTTTGAAAGTTGATAATTCAAATATTGTATTAAAATTCATGTTTGATTGGATTCATTTTCTAATGATATATCAAATATAATGCTTCTTGATATAATTCATTAATTCTATTATGAAAAACTCTGCTTCCACAGTTACTTTTGTTAGTCATTGTTTTATTATTCATATGTTTAAGAGAACTAAATATGTTGAAATATTCTTCAAGCTCTCCATCTAAATTTATGAAATTAGTGTTTTATCCTTGTATTTGATTGCATGAATGTTTATTAAGAAAGTTTCTGACTGGTTATAAGTTATCTTAGATGTTTATATGAAATTTTAGGAGATTCTTCATTGTGTAAAGTGGGATATTAATTTGAATAACTTCACGAAACCTTTTTTAAATGCCTTTCTTCTTTAATGTTCATCAAATTAATCCCTATATAATTTGATTATATATTTTCATGAATAATAAATGTCAGCCTAATAAAGTTCTCTCGATGGGGTTTTTTTACCTGGTTTTGAGAAGAAGACAGCGTATACTCATGGTTTGCTGATTCTCAGTTATTTGGATGCTTCTAATTGTTTATTTGGTTTCGTTTCTATGCCATTCACCTAATTTTTAGCATGCATATATATATTTTTTTAAATTTGAACTTATATTAGATTATTTAGACTTCATAGAGATTAAACTTTTGAGCTTAAATGCTTTTTAATTTCTACGGCTTGCCTATTCTTAATCATATTTTTAACTCTTATAAATTCTCAGTATGGGTCAATCGGTTTGCAAATGCTGGTGATACTGCCATGATTGTAGCTGGAAATACTGCATTTCAGGTATAAAATTATTTTAAACTTCTTTTGTTTAATTTGTCTAGATGTTATTGGGATTGGCTGGAATCTTTGAATTTCATGGGGCTTTACAGGGTTTTTATATGAGTATGTTGTCGATATCATGTGCTCTACTCAAAAATGGTTCGTTTGCTGCCGCAGAAGTTTTTCGGGTTGGCTCTTCCTAGGCACATGCGATTAGGCATCCACAATTAGCTAAGTAGTGTTGCTTCGAGACCCTTCAAAAATTAGAAGTACTCTTTTTTTGTGTTTGTTAATCTACTCCTCCAAAGAAAGAAAGAGAGAAACCTTCCTCTCACGTGAAGTCCGTTTGTTTCCTATCTACTTTCTTTGACATATGGCTCGGTTGGCCCAAGTTATGATCATCATTTTCAAATTTACATTAGTTTCATGATATAACGAAGACAACAGTACATAAGGTCAAATGTCTTTGTTTTACCTGAGATGATTTTCTGTGTATTGTATTTAAAATGTTTAATAAGAAGCTGAAGTTAAATGGCATTGGAAGAGTGCTGGATCATTCTTGCTAACAACCAATAATTTTTGGAATTTCTTTCCAATTTTAATCCTTTTGTATTAACTGGGAGGAACATCTCCTTTCTCATTTCTGAAGGATAAAATAAATCCAAGGATCTTCCGAAATGGGAAAATGAGTTCATCTACTACTTGTGGTCCTTGTAGAATTGACACTGAATGTTGAGATATCTGAAATATTGGGTACTATTATGACAATAGTTTGATTAAAAGGATATGTGATGTTATTGGAACGGTAGATGATCATGCCAGTTTATTAACTGGTATATTTATTCTGTATCAACAAAGAATGGGCTTCAGAGAACAAAATGGGAACCTATTATTTGTATTGTACTGAATCGAAAAATAATATGGTATATTGATTTCACTAAACTGACCCAGAGCTTCAAAAACATATTTGCTAAACAGTTTTTTTTCTTAATTTACAATTGACTTTTTTAACTTGTAATTCACATTGTAGACTAACTACACTAACACCAACCAGGATGAGTCAGAACTTACCATTGGAAATGCATTGCCACCCTTTCTCCTTCTTGGAAAAACGCTTTTTCGCTACACAACAAGGGTTTAGGATGGCACAATGACTTAAACCATCAACAACAATAAAATAGATAAACTAGTGAAGGATTAGATACGAGATCAATAAAGGTAATTGACACTACATTTTTAGAGTTTTAATGCTAATTTTTTTTGTCATTGGGTACTCTAGATGGATCTCTTTTTGAACGTTTAAAGCAGGGATGACATGGATTTGGAGGGGTGAGTGCTTGTAATAAAGGGGTTTCAGGATGTGAGGTGGGTTATTTTTGCATTGCAATGAGTTTTAAAATCAGTTTTCGCTGCAGAATTTTGCAACCAGTTTAAAATGCAGTGATAAGGATGTGTTAATAGATGAATTGGTGATGGATTAATGGTGGCAACCGTGAGGGGAGTATATTAATAGAGCTGAGAATGAGAAAGAGGGATTGCAGAAAGGAAATAACGACGAGAGAAGAGGCTTATTTTACTTTAATAGAGAGAATAGGAGGATTTGAGTAATAAGAAGTGAGCCATCAATGGATTGTAGCCCTAATATGCTCTTATAGAACTGTGTTTATATGGTCTAACATGGACTGGAGTAATCATGAATGATGAAATGATCCAAGAATGATAGATGTATGGGTAGGTGATTGATGGTGGATTTAAGGTGTCAAAGGTGAACCAAAGTTATCATATAATGGAAAATTAGCAATTTAAAGATGAGGGAGTAGTTTAAAAAGAGATAAGGCAGAGGAAAGAGGGTTTGTAAACAGGCAATAAGGGTGAGAGAAGAAACATCATGAGGAATAGGAGGTTCCAGGTGCTGACAACCAAACAATCAAGGATATTCCATTCAACTATCAATTATGGCCCTAGGAACCCCTTATAGAATCAAATTCGTATAAACTAAAACCCATAGAGTTGAATAATCATGAATGAGCAAATGATCGAAGTGTATTGGCTACAATAGTGTTAGGGAATTGTGGGCAAGCCCATAAGTGGCTTTTGCTAACTGCGGATATTTTATTGCCAGATTCTTGCAGTTTCCTTCTTAGTTGGTTAATGCATTATTTTGGATGAATTTTGACAACTCGATGCTTCTATTTTGAAACTGTTCCCCAGTCTTTCTCATCTTATCGATCTTGTTCAAAATCAAGGGTACGAAATGAAAATTTAGGGGTGGCAGATGGCTTGCTTCTGTAGCTATGGGTAGAGCTGGGGAAAGGATAGATCTCAGATACGGGGTTTTAGAACATGAATATATGACTTTCTTGCATCAACAGATAACTTTATCGTATAAAATTTTAATCAAAATTTTAACTAATTACGGGAATCAATGTGATAATTTCTTCTTAAAATTTGAAAGTCTAAAATATTTTTTTCCTAATAAAGAGGGAATAACTCTTTAAAATTTGGAAGTATAACAAACTTCACCAGATTCTAGCTGGCTACCTTCTAATAGAAAGATTGAGGGTCTGTTTGGCGCAGCGTTTTCACTGATGTGCGGCATCCGAACGCAAAATTCGCTCGTTTGGGGCGACGTTGGAAGAGAGCCGTCCCG